AAAACATACAACATCGAGTGAACCCTAATGTAAATTATGGATTTGGGAAGATAATGATGTATCAGTGTAGGTTCATCAACTGTAACAAATGTACCGCTCTGTTGGGGGATACTGATCATCAGGAAGGCTATGAAGGGCCAGGGGATATGCAAGAACTTGTTGTACCTTCCTCTCAATTTTGCTTTGAAATTAAAACTACTCCCAAAAGATAGTCTTAAAAAAAGGGGGGGTGGGGGACAATTGAAAAAAAAAGTAATACATAGTGTCACCTTCTATAGAAAATAAAAATTCAAATAATGGAAAAGAAAGCAGGAAAAAGAACAGAGAAAGAAAAAAAAAGAAAAATGGAAAACAAATAAAATGGTAGACCTAATCTAGCCACACCAATAAATACACCAAATATTAATGGACTAAATCTAATCAAAAGGCAAAAATTACCAGAACAGATTCAAAAAATCAAGACCCAACTACAGGCTATTTGCAAAAAATACACCATAAATATAAAGACATAGGTGCTTGAAATTAATTGGAAAGAAAAATATATACTATGCCAACAGTAAGTAAAAGGCAGCTGGAATAGTAATAAAACAGAATTCAGAACAAAGAGAATTATCTTAGCTACAGAGAACACTTTTTATTATTTTATATGGATAAAAGTTTCAGTGAATCACAAAGAAATGGCAATCATAAATGTGTATATACCAATAAACTCTTCACAGAAACTGAAAGCATTAATGAGAGAAACAGACAAACTCAGAACCACAGCTGGGGATTTTAACACCTTTCTCTCAGCAAATGATAAAACCAGACAAAAAATTAGTAATGACATAGGTCAGTAAGTAGTTCTCAACAAAGAAGAACTATACTGTCCCACAGGGATATGTTTCCCATGAAACATTATTTGTGGTCTCAATTTGGTGAGGATGGGAATGGAATGCCAAAGGTATGTATGAGTACAATGCACAGGACAGCCTTCCCCAAAATAAAGAATTATCTGGCCCAAAACATGTCAATAGTGCCAAGACTGAGAAACTAGGCAAATGCAAGGAAAAAGAAAGAAAACTAGGGGCTGGCCCTGTGGCCAAGTGGTTAGGTTCACACGCTCTGTGGTGGCCCAGTGTTTGCTGGTTCAGATCCTGCGCACAGACATGGCACCGCTCATCAGACCATGCTGAGGCAGCATCCCACATACCACAACCAGAAGGACATACAACTAGAATATACAACTGTGTACTGGGGGAATTTGCGGAGAAGAATAAGGAAAGAAGAATTGGTAACAGATGTTAGCTCAGGTGCCAATCTTCAAAAAAAAAGATACGTAAAACACTCAAGCCAAAAGGCATTAAATGAAACGAAGAATATACTTTATAATGCTAGGAATTCCACCTCAAAATTAAGATACAATCTGAAAAACATAATTTATAGCATAGATCTTATGTCTATCTATCAACCTTTGAACTCCAATAAAAGAGGATGCACCATTTTTTCAAGTCTTCATAAAAATCACAAAAATTGGGCACAAATTAAGCCACAAAGAAAACTTTATTAAGTTTCATACAGAGGAACCACTACAAACAACATTCTCGAATAAGAACGCAATAAAACTATAAATTAAGCTTTCTACTAAATAATTCTTATATCAAAGGAGAAATACAAACTAAAATTGCAGAATCTCTAGAAAATGCTGATAATGAAAATATTACATATCAGGCTCTATTGGATATAATTAAGCAGTGATCAGAAGAATATTCACAGCCTTAAATAATTATATAAATACAACTTAAAGAATAAAAAGAAATAAGCATCAGGGGCTGGCCCCGTGACCTAGTGCTTAAGTTTGACATGCTCCATTTCAGGGACCCGGGTTTGGTTCCCAGGCATGGATCTACCCCACTCACTGGCAGCCATGCTGTGGCAGCGACCCACATAGAAAATAGAGGAAGACTGGCACAGGTGTTAGCTCAGGGTGAATCCTCCTCAGCAAAAATAAATAAATAAATAAGCATCAAACTAAAAAGGTTTTAAAAAAGAAAGGAAATTAGACAAGAGAAAATAGAAGGAAGGAAAAAAACAACAAAAACAAGAATTGAAATAGAAAACCAAAACACAGAACTAATAAACAAGATTCATTAAAAAACAAAATCAATAAAATTACTAGCTAACATGATAAAAAAGGGAAATGGCACAATTATACAAAATAAATAAGTTGAGAAACAACCATTGAAAACATAAAATTCAATCAAATCATATCAGACTACTTTGTACAACACCACGCAAATAAATATAAAAATCTTTATAAAATGGATAATTTCTGGGACATGAATAATTTTTAAGAGATGGATAACTTTCTAGCAGTCAGAGAAAGTTACTAAAACTCTTTCTCTAGTGAATGAGTTGAAAGTTTAAACAGACCAATGTACACACAGGAAACTGAAAACTTTTTCTAAGAACAACCACATCCAAAAGAGTCACCATATGCAGAAGGTTTCACAGACGAACGGCCAAATACTTAAAGGTCAGAATATTCACTGCTATTTAAATTATTCCAGAGCAAGAAAAAGAGGAAGAAAAGTTCTGAAATATTTTATGAAGTAAATATGACACTGACACTCAAACCTGATAAAGAATACACACACACACACACACAATGACACAAATAGTGATATCATGATGAACTGAGGTTCATTCCTGCAAAGCAAGGATTGCAGAATGTCAGGAAATCCATTCACCTAATTCACCATAAACAACATTTGTACTGAAAAGATCTGGTGATTACCACTTTAATCACATAATCAAAGTTGGAACCATTTGGAACTATGGCCCTCCTGTTGACTTCAACATTGTCTATCAAGTATATTCTTACCAAGAATATACAAAGGAGAAAGGAAAGTCTCTTCAATAAATGGTGCTGGGAAAACTGGCCTGCCACATGCAAAAGAGTGAAAGTAGGCATCATTCATACCATACACTAAAATTAACTCAAAAGGGATTAAAGACTTGAAGGTAAGATCTGAAACCATAAAACTCCTAGGAGAAAATACAGACAGTACACAGTACACTATTTGACATTGGTCTTAGCAGCATCTCTTTGAATACCAAGTCTACTAAGGCAAGGGGAAAAAAAATATATTAACAAATGGAACTACATCAGACTAAAAACCTTCTGCAAGGCAAAGGAAACCATGAACAAAATAAAAAGACAACCCACCAACAGGGAGAAAATATTTGCAAATCACATATCTGACAAGGCATTAATCTCCAAGATTCATAAAGAACTCACACAACTCAACAACGGAAAAACAAACAACCCCATCACAAAATGGACAGAGGATATACACAGACATTTTTCCAAAGAAGATGTACAGATGGCCAAGAGACACATAAAAAGATATTCAATGTCACTAATTATTAGGGAAATGCAAATCAAAACTATAATGAGATATCACCTTACACCGGTCAGAATGGCTATTATTACTAAAACAAAAAATAACAAATGTTGGAGAGGATGTGGAGCAAAGGAAATCCTCACGCAGTGCTCATGGGAACGCAAATTGGCGCAGCTACCACGGAAAACAGTATGGAGATTTCTCAAAATATTAAAAATAGAAGTACCATATAATCCAGCTATCCCACTACTGAGTATTTATCCAAAGAAGTTGAAATCAACAATCCAAAGAGATTTACGCACCCCTATGTTCACTGGCGTATTATTCATAATAGCCAAGACATGGAAGCAACCCAAGTGCCCTTCTATGGATGAATGGATAAAGATGTTGTATATATATACAATGGAATACTACTCAGCCATAAGAAAAAGACAAAATTGTCCCATTGCAACATCCCTTCAGGGTATGATTTTAAGTAAAATAAGCCAGACAGAGAAAGACAAATACTGCATGATTTCACTCATATGTGGAAGATAAACAAATACATGGATACATAGAACAGATTAGTGGTTACAAGAGGGGAAGGGGGCTGCAGGGTGGGCGAAAGGGGTAAAGACGCATATGTATGGTGATGGACAAAAATTAGACTATTGGTGGTGAGCATGATAAAGTCTATACAGAAATTGATAATGTACACCCAAAATTACACAATATTATAAACCATTATGATCTCAATAAAATAACTGAAAAAAAAGAATGTTTAATCTGAATCTAATGAAGTCTTTAGACCCAACTTAAAGTTTACAAGAAACAGATGAGATAAATGAGCCAATGAAACAATTCCATGAGGAAAAAATACAGAAAAAATCAAACATGTTTTACATACAACAAAAGAACTGGCATGGTCACATCAATAAGTCAATGCTATGGAGGGAAAAGGTAGAAGATTAACCTAGATTAAAAGAAAAGAAATACAACACCATACAAAAACTATGACTGGATTCTGGTTCAAAAAAACAGCTGTAAAGCATTTTAGGACAATATGGACTAGATGCTATCAAGGAACGAATGCTAATTTTCTTACGTGAAGTCACAGTGTTATAATTATGTAGGAAAGTCTCCTTATTTTAGAATATGCATGCTGAACTATGTAGCAGTAAAGTGTCATGATGTCTACAATGTACTTCCATATGGTTCATAAACACACACACAAAAAAAACCATACATACATATACATATAATCACATAGAAAAAAAGTAAAAATGACAACATGTTAACAACTGTTGACTCCAGATGATGGTTACAGAGGTGTTCATTTCAACATTTTCTGTTACAAAGTAAGCAAATAACTTGAAAAATGCTCATATTACTCAAGTGCTAAAAATAAATAAATCATAGCAAACTTGGTTTAAACCATCTTCAAAGGCTTAATAAACATAAATAATAATATTACTATAAAACTAAATTTTCCACTAAATATTTGAAAACTATAAAACATATATGGAAATATTTCTCATCCCTCGACTGTAATAAATGATAAACAAAAAAAAATTCTAGTCGGGGTGGGGGACAGCAAACCAGTTCTATTAAACACGTAGATATGTAAAATTTTACCTGCTTTTTCTTTCAATTAGAATGGCCACATAAGATGCTGGCAGAGCGGCACCAAAGCCAGGACTCCATGAGTAGAATTTTCCAAGTATCTTCCTGTAATTCAAATTTAGAATGTTTGTGTGAAATTTCTAGTTGGTGATTTCAGTTATTATGAATAGAGAAAAAGTTCCCCTTCTCAATCCACCCTCTGTCTAAATGGCTCACAGCACCTCAAATTCAACATGTTCAAAACCAAACTCATTGTCTCTCTCCCCTCTCCCCGTGAACTTGTTCTCTCTCCTCTATTTTCCTAGCTTAAAGCATCAACAACCACCTATGTGTGACACTTTGAGACATCCTTGGCTTTTCCTTCTCCCGTACCCCATACATTAAATCATTCCCTTACATTTTTCCATATACAATTTCTCTCTCAAATTCCTCTCCAACCTGCTGCCCCTCCCTTAGGTAGGTCCCTCACCATCTCTTATTCAGACTACAACAAAAGCAAACTAATAGGGGTCTCTCCTTCCAATAATTTAGTCAGTCATATTCATTCAGACATTGCCTGGATCCAACATTGCTCACTATGTAAACCCTCTATGTTTTCAGTTTCCTTATCTATCAAATGGGAATAATAATATTACTTATCTCAGAGAGCTGCCATGAGGACTACATGAGATATTCCCAGCACCATGCACAGCACAGAGAAAGTACTCAGAAAATGTTCGCTGTTATTACAATTATTACTATTATAATTACTATTTTTTAACACATGATAGATATTCAACAAATGTCTCTCCTTCTTTGCTTCTACAGCCCTTGATAACTTTTTCTTACAGCACTTAATAAATAAAGTATTTCATATTTTTTAATTATATCTATACCATTTTTCATTTACTAGAATAAGTCCCTTGAAAGTAAGAATCTGCATAGTGTCTCACACATTATAAATGGTCATTAGCTGTTTGGGTTTTTAAATGGAAAAGAAAAAAAGTAAATTTGGAGATGTTAGGCTGATTTTTTTTCCTTTCAAAGACATGTTCCTAAAAAAGGAATAAAAAAAAGGAACATAAAAATTACAAGAAATTATCTGAACAAAGTTGGTCAATTGCTAAATGATGCATTATTATAGGAAGAAATATAAACACATACAGATAAGGATGAAGAATCAGAGAGGAAATGAGCTTTTTAATTGAAGCTTAGCTTTAAAAGAATTAGAAAATCTGGGGCTGGCCCCATGGCCGAGTGGTTAAGTTCGCACGCTCTGCTTAGGCAGCCCAGGGTTTCCCCAGTTTGGATCCTGGGTGCAGACATGGCACCGCTCATCAGATCATGCTGAGGCGGCATCCCACATGCCACAACTAGAAGGACCCACAAGTAAAAATACACAACTATGTACCAGGGGGCTTTGGGGAGAAAAAGGGAAAATAAAACCTTAAAAAAAAAATTAGAAAATCTACTGAGCATACATAATCTGGGTATTTCCAAAATGAAGGACATCAGAAACCTTCTGCATGAGAAGACAGGAGGTGGTTCTTCCTCCAATATAAAATCCACAAAGGACTTAAGTGACTGAGGGTAAAAATTAAAGGAAAATAACTCAATGAGTCAGTTACAAGAGGCACACAAATGTTACTTTATTACAAGTATTTTATGTTTCCATACTTAACCAAACAGGCTCAAAGAACATAAAGAAAGATGCTGTAATAGCAATTTATTATTATTATTGCAATTTTGGAACCTAATTATCTTATAACTTTATTTTTAGAGCTTTAACAAGTATTAGAAACTTTCCAGGGACCACATGACAAAGAGTTTCTTACACAGATTTTTAAGTCAATTTAAAGGCATGCTGTACTCAATATCATAAACCTTATAAATTGTATTCTCCATAATCTAAGCTTATAAATAATAATGTTCTAAGGGAAAAACATCTGTAAAATAGATTTGGAAATTATATTTTAATTGCAGTTAAAATATACCTGCAGAACTACTTTGGGCACCACTAACTGGGTAACACCAATACAAGGATAATGTGAAGTTACTATTTTAACTTGACAAGACTAAAAAAAAAAACTCATTTGGGTTTTCAACAATCAATGGGGAAAAAGATAAAAAGTAAGTATCTAATAAACATGTTAGGTATATCACAGCACTAAGAAATGAATTCTAAATGCATGTATATTATATGAAGCATGTGACAGATAATGTATGTAAGACTGAATCAGAAACAAAAGTTTCATCAGTAGGATATGCCAGAAGTTAACTTACTATTTTACATATAAACAAGAGCATTTTATAGTCCCTTTAAAGTCTGTTTGCTGCATATGGACCTAACCTGTATCATGGACAGCTGGTCTGAATTCCTGATTTATGAAATTGAAAAGCTAAGAAATCCTTATCAACAACTTGGTAAATAGAGCAGGCCTCAAAAAATGTCTGATACATTAAAGCACTTTTACCACATAATCACATCAATAATTTGAAGTTTATATTACATCTTTAGACCAAGAAGCACACAACTCGATTTTATAAGCTTTCTTTGAGATAAATAAGTGTCATTTCACAAAGAAAAAAATATACAATCAGTGACCCGCACATTTTTATCAACATCTGTCTGTTTCAGTTTCAACAAAGGAATGTGAATTAACCTCCAGTGGCGATTCTGAGTACCAACCTTAAAATGCAAAAGAAAGCCATATATAAGGCCCCATTAGCGGTCAGAAACGACGCAGATTGTAGGATCTCAGGGAGCAGCTTGTGTAAATAATAGTCTAATTTTCGTTTCCGGAGAATTGCTGCAATCTGGAAAGAGAAAGGCTTTTTTGTTTAATCCAACCAATTTTTCCCACTTAAACTAGCTCTTCCGTGGAAGCTCCTGAATAATAGCACATATTTTAAAATGAAAGTGAAAACTCTAGTATTTTACTGGCTACTTTAGGAAAATACAATTTCTGAGACAGAAAAGAAGACACTTTGACTGAAGGTCTAATGGGTAAAATACACACAAAGAAATGATAACACGGGTCACGTGATGAGCAAACGCCAAATGCTGAGGTAAATATTTATAACGCCTTAAAAAATTCTTAAACTGAAAGATAAAAAATATCTTTAAATGGAAAAAATAAAGTACAAATCAAATAGAAACTGAATGCTAAAACAAAACTACATTACAGGTATTATCAGCCTGGCTATTAGAGACCCTCAGTGACAGAAACCATAGAAATTCTCAGTCATTCAAACATGACTACTTTGTGACAAAAACCACGTTAGGCATACAAAAAGTAAAAAAATAAAATTAATGATTTCTAGCCTACTGGAGCCCATAAAAAAAAATCTGAAAAACAAACACTGAGAATCTAGTATAATATAGGTAGGTACTGTGTGTTACCAGAACACAGAAACAGGAACAAGTTCCTGTAGAGAGGATCACAGAATTTTATCACAGAACTATTTTATAAAGAATATAACCTATGAGTCTTCATGACATTTTTAAAATTTAGATTGAAAACATATTTGTTTTTAGGGCTTTTTGTGCGCGAACTTTAAAAAGAAGGGTTTCTAGATTAAAACAAAACAAATACACAAAAAAGCCCCGAGATAACTTAGTAACAATTTTTAAAAATCAAGACATGAGGGGCCAGCCAGGCAGCATAGTGGTTGGGTTCACATGCTCCTCTTTAGCAGTCTGGGGTTCGCAGGTTGGGATCCTGGACACAGACCTATACACTGCTCATCAAGCCATGCTGTGGCAGCATCCTGCATGCAAAATAGAGGAGGATTGGAACAGAGGTTAGCTCAGTGACAATCTTCCTCAAGCAAAAAACAGGAAGATTAGGAACAGATGTTAGCTCAGGGCCAATCTTCCTCACCAAAAAAAAATCAAGACATGAAATCTAAGTATTTATTAAGTATACTATTAATGGTATAGGAAATAAAAAGAATATGAATCATAATATGATACGATAAGATATGAAGATATTCAAGAATGATTAGGTGTTAGTAATATGAGATAAAAGTGCCTTGGAAGTTTAGCAAAGAGTGGGTTTAATATAGGAGTAGGCAGCAGTTTCATTGAGAAGGGGCTACGAGAATAGTAGAATTCTCACACATCACCAGCAAGGAATACTTTTCCATCACAATGAAACAATATATCAAAGGAACAAAAGTTAGAACAACACAATTAGAGAATGAGGGAGGAGATATAAGAAAGGGCAAGACTGACTTGGAGAAGACTAGAGAACTCTCCATTCACTCCTCACCATTCTAAAGATAACACTTCCCCTAAGGTCAGGAATGAACAAACCTAATGGCCTCTTCTCAGTTCTTTTCTTACTCCACCCCCTTGAAGCCCCAGAAACTGACCGTTTCCTACTTCATTCAATTAAACTGTTATTAAGAATTATGCCGTAGACAGGAAAATCAATTATGAATAAGATCTGATCCTTGCCTTCAAGGAACATAAAATCTTGATAGAGAAATTGACACATAAACAATAAACTAAAATACGGTGGTGTGGTAAATGCTACCCTAGAGGAAGAGGAAGCATTTCTTACTCAGATCTCTACTCATTCTACATATACTCTCTCCATAGCATCATCTATCACGTCAAAGTAGTAATTCCTATTATAACTCCAATCTCTCCCCTAAATTTTTAATCCTCACTTCAAATGTCTATTGGACATGTCAACAAAGATGTACCACAGGCATCAAACAAATCAGCATGTCCAAAGTAGAACCCATTATATTTCCCTAAAATGCTTTTACTTCAATTAATTATTCAATTCAATTCAATCAATTATTACCTCAATTAATAATAGCAGCACATCCACCTAATTACTTAGGAACAAAACATTGGTGTCATTTTCAATTACTCCCTGTTCCTCAACCATCTTATCAGTTCAAATGGTTCTTAGTATCTTCATGTTTTGGAATGTAATGTCTCTTTCATTTTAGACGTAACAATGGGCAGAGTCTGGTACTCTGTTATACATTCAAGTAGTTACAGAAAGAAAAAATCCCCTCTGTTCCTAGAAACGAAGAAGCAAAACTGTACCTAGCAGATGACCTGATTGTCTACATAGAAAATCCCAAGCCATACACAACCAAAAAAACCCTCCTAGAACTAATAAGGCAGTTCAGTAAGGCCATAGAACACAAGATAAACATACAAAAATCATTCATATTTCTATATAAGAGCAATAAGCACATGGACACAAATTAAAATTACAATAGCATTTATAACTCCTCAAAAAAATGAAACACTGAGGGAAAAATCTACAATACTCATACAGGACTTCTATGCTGAAAACTACACAATGCTAATGAAAGAAATGCAAGATGTCAATAAATCTTCATGGATTGCAAGACTCAACATGGTAAAGATGTCAATTCTCCCCAAAATGATATATAGGTTTAATACAATTTGTATCACAATCCCAGAAAGCTTTTTGGAAATATAGACAAGATTATCCTGAAATTTATGTAGAAAAGCAAAGGAACTATAAGACCTAAACCAACTTTGAAAAAGAGAATAAAGTGAGAGGAATAAGTCTACATGATTTCAAGACTTATTATATAGCTACAGCATCAGGCTTTGTGATATTGGCAGAAGGATAGACAAAGAGATTAATGAACTAGAATAGAGAACCTAGAAACACACGGACACAAATACATCCAACTGATGTTGGTGCAAAGGCAATCCTAAGGAGGAACGGCAGCCTTTTCAACAAATGGTGATGGAGCAAGTGGACATCCATAGGCTAACAAAAAAAAAGGCTTAACCTCAACCTAAGTCCCACACTTCATACAAAAATTAATTCAAAATGGATCATGGCTTTTAGGGAAAAAAATTGGAGAAAATCTCAGGGATCTAAAGCTAGGCAGAGTTCTCAGGCATGACACCAAAAGCACAATTCATAAAAGGAAAAATTGTAAATTACACTTCAAAATTAAAACTTTTTCTCTATGAAAGACTTACTAAGAAAACAAAAACACTAGCTACATAATAGGAGAAAATATCCAGCAAAGGACTAGTCTCTAGAATACGTAAAGAAATCTCAAAACTCAACAATAAAAAAAAAAAAAACCCAATTAGACAATGGCAAAAGATATAAACAGATATTTCATTGAAGAGGAATGCAAATGACAGATAAGCACATAGCCATTAAGGAAATACAAATTAAAACCATAATAAGCTACCACTATACAACCGTCAGAATGGCTAAAATAAATACTGAAAACACCAAATGCTGACAAGGATGCAGAGAAATTACATCAGTCATGCATTGTTGGGGGGAATGTGAAATGGCACGGCAATTCTAGAAAACAGTTTGATAGTTTCTTAAAAAACTAAACAAGCAACTATCATATGACCAAGCAATTGCCATCTTGGGTGTTCATCCTAGAGAAATGAAAACGTATGTTCACACAAAATCTGTGCCCAAATTTCTACAGCAGCTTTGTTTATAATAGTCAAAAGCAGGAAACAACCCAAGACTTTTAAGAGGTGAATGGTTTAAAGAACTGCAGTGTATCAATACCATGGAATACTACTCAGCAATAAAAAGGAACAAACTAGTGATATATGAAACAATCTTCATAAATCTCCAGAGAAATATGCTGAGTGAAAAAGGCCTATCCCAGAAGACTACACACTGCATGATTCCATTTATATAACATTCTTGAAATAACAAAATTATAGAATGAAACATAAATTAATGGTTGCCAGGGGTTAAGAGGAGGAGGATAAGTGGGAAGGACATGGGTGTGGCTCTAAAAGGCCAACATGAGGGGTCCTTGTGGTGATGGGAATGTTCTGTATCTTGACTATATCAATGGCAATATTTCAGTTGTGAAATTTTACTATCATTTTGCAAGATCAGACCATTGGAGGAAACCAGATAAACAGTAGAGGGAATCACTCTATTATTTCCTACCATTGCATAAGAATCTACAATCATCTCAAAATAAAAAGTTCAATTACAAAAAAAAAACAATCATCCACAAGGCCAATGAGCATACAAAATACACTCAGCATCATTAGTCATCAGAGAATTGCACAATGAAATACCACTACACACGCACAAGAATGACTAAAATAAAAAGAACTGATAATACAAAGTACTGTCGGGAATGAAGTAACTGAAACTTCACACGTTGCTGGTGGGAATGTAAAATTGCACAGTTGTTTTGGGAAATCATTATCTAATGAAATTAAATGTGTACTTATTCTACTATGCAGGAATTCCACTCCCAGGTATACACCCAAGAGAAATAAGTGCTTGTTTCCACCAAAAGTTACATTCATAGCGCTATCTATAATTACAAATACTGCAAAACACCTAAGTGTCCATTAACAATAAACAGGATAATTTGTACATATTTGCAATATTGGTAGACCAAATTATACAGTGTATTCTGAGAAACAGGGGAAATCTGACACAAAACGTGGGAAATAACCTAGGACCTAAACATCACTGTGCTCTAATTCAGAGCTTCCAACCAGGGTTCACAAGTGGCCAAAATACTGATCCTCTCAGCAGCCTGGCTAGCCAGGCCAGCCCTAGGGTAACAAAGCAGGGTGACAACCATCTCAGTTTTCCTTAGCATGCCACACAATTATGATCATTTTCTATGAACAGCACAGAATGCTACAGTGTGAAAAAAGGTCAGAAAGCACTGATCTAATCAAATAACATAATAGTAATTGTAATAACCATTTAGTAATTGTAAGAGCACATGCACGTATGTATAAAATTGTTATCAGACATCATCAAACACCTCATATTTTATAGGAAAAATGT